GACGGTYGAGTCCAACCCCCCGCTCCAGCAGGGCCACCCGGAGCACGGGGCACAGGGCGGCATCCAGGCGGGTTGGGAAGATCTCCAGAGAAGGAGACTCCACAGCCTGTTCCATGGCGGAGCCCCTGACTCCGTGCACCGGCCGCGGGGAGAGGCGCCCTCGCCAGCCGGGCCGCGCGGAGCCGCAGCAACGGCCGCCGCGCGTCTTCCCGCACGGAGCAGCTGGGCCGAACCGGGCGCCGCTGGAAGCCCGGCCTGCCAAAGCCCAAGCTGCAGGTTGCTCCTTCCCAAAACATGAGGCGCGTTGGCTCCGCTGCTTCGCTCGCCTTGGAGTGGAGCTCTGGAAGGAAAGCAGGCCCGGTTTGCTCCAATGGAGAAGCTTCCCTCTCRGCAGAGCACGGGTAGGGGCTATGGAGGCTCTGAATCTGAGGCAAAAGTAAAAATACAGATAGAATAATATATTATATATTATTAATATATATTATATATATTTATATATATATATCTGCAGGTTTTTGAAGTGGTAGTTTAAAAAAGAAAAGGTCTGGAAGTACATTTCACTTTTAGTTCTTTTGCTTATTGGATGTTTCTATGCTAATATAGCATTGTATTTCTTAAAAGGTTGCCATTTACATGCAAAACAGACCTGACGCAATCTGCTTTCCAATTAATAGCATTTATTTTTCCCCCGGCATTATTTATTTTCAGTGAATTGTAAATTGAARCCTTGCAATAGTGGAAGTGACAAATACTAGGTCATCTTCACTGTTTTCTTCTTTGTAGCCCTGTCAGTCAACTAAATATAAATGGAAGAGTGGAGTTTTTATTCAGCTCACAGTTGTACTTCGTAATCATAATTTAGTGATTCACTTTAGCAGATCTAGAGCGGAATAAATCTTGATTTAAAATATTTTTCCCTGTTTTGTTTGTCACATGCCTCCACCACACTCTGCTGCAGCTCTGCAATGTGTCTCCTGCTCTTGTCCCTTCGGATGGATWCTGCTCAGTGGATTTCTCATTGCCACTGCATAGATGAAATCACCTTTTTGTGTGCATACTTACAAATGCCTTTACTTTTAATATCAGAGTGAATTTGTCATTACCAATAATTTATTTAAATATCTATATTTTTAAAATGCAACTTTCTTTTAAATAAGAATACCACTTCTAATTGGTATTGGTATTGTTTTTCTTTTTTTCTTTTTTTTTTTTTTAAGGAGGCTTTAGAATTACAACTTCAGAGTATTTGTGATGAGCGTTGGACCCAGACAAGGAAATTTGTGGTGTGAAATCTCACAAACAGGMGACTTTCTAGGACTGATTATTAGGAAGGGAAAAGATATAATACAAGCACAAAGAAAATATGAATTATATGAGTTTTTCATCTGACTGTAAGATAACTGAAGATCTAGCAAAGTTCAGACTTTTGGAAAGTTTATTTGTAATTATTTGTATATGAAGTTTGAAATATTGGGTTATTTTCCATGAATTTGTTGGTCAGTAGGAGTAAAGCAAAGTTAAGTTTTAAAATACAAAGCAAGCTAATGGATGTCTACAATCTACTGCTCAATCATTTTGTCTAAATATTGGGAAGGAACTCTGCATTTGGCTAACTTTTTGACTTAAAAGTGGTGTGCACTTGGAAACKTGAAATAAGGAGGAGTGCACATAGAATAAGGGAGAAAATACACATGTAAAATTGCTATGTTAATACACTGCCATGGGGATGTGCTGCTTTTCTCTGAAGATAACAGTTCAGATGGTGGTATCTGATTTTTCTGATTTTGCAAGTAAAAAAGATGCAGCCTCATTTTATTGATGTTCTGTCTGCGTCCTTCTATTGGCATTAGGTTTGTGTTTGATTTCCTAACACCCATTTAAACCCTTTTTGAGTATCTGTAAAGTTGCGCTTTCAATTACGCAAACATTGAATCTCTATATCTTAGTGAGAGATATAGATGYATGGGGCAATTTTTCATTTTTTATAGCAGAAGTCTTGATGTTTGCAGAATTTTCCTTTTTGCTGCTGTCRGTGTCTTTTCCTGTGAGGAAGGAAGGAAATGTTCATATTGCGAGGGATAGTGCTGTCGTTACGGGCTTTTCTCATGACCAAGGACTAGCAAAATGGTTTGCAGTCCATCTTCCATGTTTCCAAAAGTACTGCTCAGTACAGCCGCGGGCGAGATAGAAACGTGTCCGGATTGTCCCTGGAAACTTCTCAAAATGCCTTTTTGTAGAGTGGATCCCCAGCCTTTCTTTACCTGGTTACGCTGAGTAACTTGGGTCCCTGTGTTTTGTGTCTTACTGCAGTTGAGTTGCTCTGCAGTAGCTTTATATAAAAAGATGGTTTTATTGCAGAAATTAATCTTTTTGCTAGCCTTTGGTTTAATTAGTAAATGAGTAGTTTCTCGCTAGGAAATAATGACCTGACATTGAGATACATGTTTCTTCACAAACCTTTTCTCTACTGAATCTTTGTTGTCAATTCAGGTATCCTTAAAATTACAGTGTCTGGGCTGATTCCAAGAGGCTGCCGGTGCTGCCGCGTTCCTTAGCACATAACCTGCAGTTCGGTGTGATGTGTGCCACATTCCTGGGAGATTGTTGGGTTTGTTTTTCAGTAGGTATAATATTACAGCTTTGAACAGATGTAATGTTGTAAAACATATATAAAATGTTTCATAGGTGTATATACAGATTGTATCTCTTCACTGGTGTGAAGAGATGCAGGGGAATGTTTTAACTGTGACCGTTGTACTATAAATTTTTTCTTTATTTCTTGGTTATTGCAAAGTGTGTCGTCCTCATCCACTACTCAGTCAGCTCAGATTGAGCACAACTTTTTTCTTCTTACACCGAGTAAGACTTTTGCAGCTTTCTTTAATTTCCAGCTTCCTTTTCTGCAGCTAATAGTGTCATTAATGACTGAAAGAGGGCGGTCTCTCTGAAGGCTGAGGTAATCATCAAGCGAGCGTGTGAAACTCAAGCTACACTCATTTGTATAGATGTTAATGGCCATGGGCTGGAATTTCTTCCTCCTGGGCATTTTTTAGTCTGTGTGCTTCTTGTCTGGACTGTGTGCTAAGGTAAGCTGCAGGGAAACCACTAATATATCTGAGGAATAGCAGCAAAAACCTTTCTGTATAAATACATCTAAGTGCCTTGTGCTTCAGATCTGTTTAGAAGCTCACGAGTTGAAGTCTTCATMTTTGCTGTTTTGGATACACACCGTTCAAGTCTGTGTTTATCAGCGCTCTTGGTTGCCCTGTGCTGGTTCTCTACACTTGTACAAGGGAAGGGATCTAATTATTCTCYAGCCTTTTAGCCAGAGGATACAAGATCATTTTATTAGTCTTTCATTACTGTAATTGTGTATCTATTCTCTTTTAATGAAGCCCCATCTGACAGTGGAAAGGACAGTTTATCTAAGAGGGAGCAGCTTTGTGCATCCTTCCCTATTTTTGAATATCCATCAAATGATCAAGGACTCTTTTTTTTTTTTTAAAGGCTTTCTGCAAATCATTAAGAATTCATTGCAGTGAAAAGTCTCAACTTTTACCCCAGAAGTATTTTTCTGATATAAAATTCCCTCTTGGCAGAGAAAAGAGATTTTTAGGATGCAGCAAATCCAGAATCTTTTGCTTATGGATATGCTCCAGCTGGAGCATTAGCTATTGCTTAGGAATGTTTTGCAAGCAGGAGCATGGTGCACACGAGGTGCCTGTTCAGACGGTGCGTAATTCCCCGGAGACAGCGGGATTTTGTTGTCCAGACCAGCAGCACTAGCGCAAAGCGACGAAACAGCAGCCATGTGTTGTGTGAAAGGGAAGGAGGAGACTCCCGCGTGCGGCAGCCCGGGAATCGGGAGGTGGTGCAGAGACCTGCGGGGCACGGAGGCGCCTTGCGAGACTCTGCTGTGCTCCCGCGGGAAGAACAGCCTCCCACGGAGAGAGCCCCTGGATGGGAAATCAGAGGTGGTGAAAGTTGAAACMCAGGCACTTCCATCCGCATGGGAAGAGCAGCATCTTCCCTGTGAGGGTGCCAGAGCCCTGGCMCAGGCTGCCCAGGGAGGCTGTGGAGTCTCCTGCTCTGGAGATCTTCCAAACCCGCCTGGATGCCGCCCTGTGCCCCTGCTCTGGGTGTCCCTGCTGGAGCAGGGGGTAGGACTGGATGATCTCTACAGGTCCCTCCCAACCTCAACCGTTCTGGGATCCTCTATTAACAGATCTCTTCATATCAGCAGTCTGAAGGGTGGGCAAGTAGCTTCGCCTCCTCCCCTCCCGGRCTGCGCAGAGCTGCCGCCCGGAGCCGTCGGGCGGCTCCGTCTGGGGATGCTCAGGGCGTTCGAGGCCGTGTGGGCTCCGGCAGGCTGGGTTTTGGTCATTTGGTCCTTGATCACTACAGTGTATACCTGCTGTCTCGTGTCTCCTGTAAGGCTAACAGAGTTCAGTGCTGCCTGTTCACTTGCTGCTTCGTTAGTATATTCAAGCGTCTCGATTAGGTTGATCGATTAAGGTTTTATTTTCCTTTTTTGAAAAAGGAAATTTGTGAAGTTCAAAGTGTTACAGAAGCGTAATGTACTTTGATAACTCCATTCCCAGTATTGATGGGATAGGGTGTTTTTTTCTTTTAGAATATGAGAAGAACGTGAAATGACKCCTTTTTCAAATAGTATTATACTTCATTTTGATTTCTAGTTCAAAAGAATGGGAACAATAAATTAACAGCACTTTGTTTTTTGTACGCGCAGCTGACGGTACCTAACAGCAATTAAGGAATGCAGTTCATTTTCAAGTGATTTTTACCTTATGACAAATAACTCATTTGCTTGTTTGTCTAGATCTGAGGCAAAAAGAAAAAAAAAACCCCAAAGTTAGGAGACCGTTAGGGGCTCTGTGCTGCTTTCTCCCATCAGAGAACGGGAGGAATAGAGCCGAGCGGGGCGTCTGAGGAGAGCAGGCAGGTGCTCCCGCTCACCGCGTCTCCGTTCCCTCCCGCAGGGGCCACAAGCGCAAGCTGGAGGAAGATGACGGTGCCAGTGAATCCAGCAAGGAGTCGAGCAACGAGGACGAGGAGGGCAGCAGCTCCGAGGCGGATGAGATGGCAGCAGCGCTTGAGGCTGAACTGAACGACTTCATGTGACCTTCACCCAGGSCAGAGGATTTGTAATTATGTTTTACTTCTCATAAACAGCGCAGACTTCAGATGAGTCCCGTATGTCAGTTCTCAGTGGTTTTTTTTCCAAAACGTGTGTGTATATTTTGCAAAGCAACACAAGAGGTGACACATTATTTTACAAAATCRGAAGTAGATGTTTTTAAGGTGTTTTACTAAAGGAAAATATACTTTTTTAAAGGAAAAAAAAAGTATTAAATGGGACGTGGTGTGCTATGCCAAAGACATGTTATGAGCTCTGCAGAACCATCGTATACAGGACAGTAATGCAAAGATTTGTGAAAAAACATACAGCAAGTTTTTTTAAAGTATTGCAGTCCGTGGTTTGGGGGGTAGCAGTCTTCAAAAGAGAGAAGGAGATAAAAGAGATGGAATTGTTTGGGTATCACAGCAGGATCATCTGGTCATCCTTTTCCACAAATAAAAGCTATCAAAATATAAAAGGATTTTTAAAGTTAAAAAAAAAAAAAGAACAATTTATATTTGTATAGAAACAGAGAATGTGATATGCAAGCTTTGTGAACTCTGCACTTGACTTACCTGTCATTTGCTTCTAAAAGAATACATAATGATCAAAACTCATGTTTTTAAGTYTCTTTGTGGAGTAGCTGGGTTATTTGGGAAACAGTTTAGATTTTTAACTTTTCTTCTCTGTAACCTGGAAATTTAGCAAAGCAGACTGTGTGATACACCCCGTGCTGCCATAAGAAGGATATTCACCCATTTGTGTTGTTCTTGGAAAGAATGAGTGCTACTTCAGTCTCCATAGGATTTAATTTCTTTGACAAGAGACCTGATGTAAAGTTTTTGTATATTCTATTTCATATTTGACCCACAGAACAGATTTTCTTTCATTTAATAAAAACCCATTTTGTAAGTTCTGGTTTCCCTTTCCTGCATCCCCAAAGTCCGTATCAGCAGTGTCAAACACAAGACTCCTTTCCTTAATATCCTTCCTTTGCTCTGCATGGGGGGGAAAAAAAATGTATTGGAAGCAGCTGCRGAATTTCAGGCTTGGGCAGTGACTGAGCCAAAGAAGAGAAACGCTGGCTTAAAAATGCCTTTTCTTGGGCATTTGGCTATTGAATTCTGACATTTTCCAGGATCTCTTTGCCTGAGCTCCAAGGTGTTGCTGAAGTGTGTTGTGAGTTACTGCAGTGACACTGAGCTTGTGAGGCTGGCGCTGGGGTTTCYTCTCCGTCGCTTCTCCTGCGGAAGCACTTGGTGCTGTCGCCCCTTAGTAAAGCAGAGGATTTTCTGTAGAATCTCAGCTGGCTGATAAAGGCCAGACCAGCTCGTAGCATTTCCTAATGGCAAAAAAAGGGCAGTTTACCTGAGATAACAGGAGAATCTTTTTGGCTCAGCACTGCTTTTCCCCCCTAGCCAGCCCAATGTCTGTGACACGAGAAGAGTGTTTCTCTGTGAGAAGATGTTCAGCGCAGAGCCACGGCTCTGAAATCTGTCCCCCACACTCCCCCCATCTGAGGCAGCCCGGCCTCATAGTTTGAAAAAATGGAAATCATCTTTTTTTTTTCTTTTTCAGAACAACTTAAATGCCGTCTCCCCAGCTATCAGAGGACGATTGCTCACAATTCAGAAGTAAATTTTGGGTCTGGGGGGTTATGTGATGTGGTTTTAAGGCTAMCTGGAATGCTCTGGAGCGCCGTCCCCTTTAGGGTGGTGCTGCAGACGCCTGCAGCCCTGCGTTTCAGCAGGCGCTTTTCTCGCTGCTCCTGGCCCCTCGCCCCGTCCTCGGGCACCGTGCGAGTTCTGACCGTAAATAGAGCAGGGAACAAAAATCTGCAGGGTGCTTTTCCTTCGGAAACGTTCCGAGTTTGAAGAGCTCCTCGGATGCCGCCTTCCCTTCCAGGACAGCTGTCTCCTAGCATTAAAGGAAAAGTCTTTCCGACCACGTGAAGCTTGAAAGGCTCTTTGGTGTGAAAGACTGTGTCCTGCCCCAGGTTTGTTGTAGGGCTGCCCCTTGGGCTTTAACTCACAGTGTGTGTCCGACAAGCGACCACCCCTCTGCCRGGCCCGTATTGCCTGGAGCCCGGAGCCGACTCCGGCGCGAAGCTCCCGCGTCGCCGTCCTGGGCGCCCCCGTTTGCCCAGCACTCGGCACGGGCAGCACCTCGGGATGGGTTCCGTGGGGAGGTGGGATCAGGCGGCTGCCGCCTGGGACCCCGCGGCATCCRGGCTGCCCTCCCGCTAAGGCAGCTCCGCACTCGCGCCGGCGGCCAGCGCTGCACCGCGCTCCGGGGCAAGACAAACCGGAGCTGGGGACCACGGAGATGTTAAATAAACGCCCTGGCCGCCCTGGGCACCTGCACGAAGTCCTTCCATGCATCAGGTTCTCACTCACTGCCACTGGCTGACGTTTGGAGATGCAGAAGTATCCTAGAAAACCAMCAAAGGTACTTTATTAAATGGCTTTTTGCACTCTATAAAAACAACCCCCATCCCTTGGCTTGCTCTTCCAAGTGTAGTTTAACAACCATACGATCGAGCTAACGTGACCTGTTTGTTTTTTTCCTATCTCCTTCCCTATGTAACGTACCTCTGCACATTAGGATGTTGCACAGGAGAGCCACCAGGGACCTGCTGCGAGGAGGGCGCCCTCGGAGCAGCAGCAGAGACCTGCCTCCCACTCCGGCTCTTGAACTTGGGGCAGTGCCGCGTCGGAAGGCCTCCTTGACACGCAGGGGTAAAAAGCAACTTTTTCCATGTAAAGCTCTGCAGTTTTATTGTCTCCTGCTCCGTTTGCCTTAAGGCAGTCCGTAAGAGAACAGGAAGATGTCACAGGTTTGTATACGGGTATGTGGCAGGACCTGTGCTGCAGGCAGGAACTGTGCCCTCATGGCCAAGCTCTTCTCTTGCAGCGTGCGTGGGCGGCGGGAAGGGGAGGCAGGGGAGCGGTATCGCTCAGCTCCGAGATGTGAAAAACTGCCCGCGTGCAAGTGCTGTCAGGCTTGGTGCATATGTGCAGCGGCCCTCGAATCCTGTCAGTGTTACATAGTAACAGCCTCTGCAGAAGGCAAGAAGTCCCAAGTTTCCTCCTTGGCACTACTGCTTGGAGAAAAGGTGACTTTCTCACAAGTGTGAAAATCCACACACACAAACTTGGAGCTCTTTGCTCTGCCTATTTTTATTACAGAGAACRCTGCAGGAGATGGCAAGTCACAGAAGGAATCTATAGTGGTCTTGTTAAGGAAGAGGCTCTTTTCATGTAGCTGAAAATCCAGCACGGGAAGTCTTCCATAAATTATTAAATCAGATGTATCCAAAAGGAAAACATTTATGAACCATTTTTTATTAAAAAGCAAAAATGCAGAAAGAAGTTCTTAGATTATTTTTAAGTAGAAATGTTCCCTTGTAGGTAAGCCTGCCAAACAAATTGATACCATAAAAAAAGGTACGTTTACAGGGTGTGAAACTTAAAATACAAGGAGGTCTGTGCACCAGCCGGTCGTTAACATCTTTTACTGCTGCTCTCGGCAGGCTCTCTCTCCCAGGTCCTCATTTGTTCCCTTGCCCATCCCAGGTTTATCCTGCCCTGCTGGGGCTCTCCGTGCCTCGTCCTGCCCGGCTCCTTTTCTGACAGTTTTCTGTGCCCCCCAGCCCTCACAGCCGCTGTCCCGTCTCCCCATAACGCTTCCCCATATGTCTCCCCATAACGCTTCCCCATCGCTTCCTTCTCCCCGTACATCCCCCTGGAGCTTTTAGCTCGTTGTTGCTGCCCCTTGTGCCTTGGTCGGCGTCTGGGACAGCCCCAGTGCTCTGCCCGCCGCGCAGGCCCGGCCTGCGGTGACCGCGGGGCCTCGCTGGGCCAGGCTGAGCTGCTGCCAGGGGGGCAAACAGCTCCCACCAAAACTCTGGGTCGTAGGGACGGAGCGCTCCAAGTACTACCAGTGAGTGAAAGCACTGCCCTTTTTAACTTGGGTGCCAGTACTTTCAAGTGGATGGAGGAAACTGTTTCATCTTGGAAAGCTTTAATGCTCAATGTCCTGCTCCTCACAGGCATAAACAGGGAAACCCACCTTTGCTCAGGGGCTGATTTGTCCTGCCAGCCTTTCAGCTTGATTCCCMGCAGCTGTAAGAGACCTGGAGCAGCTGCTTTCCTGCACCTCCACTGGGCCCATATATGTCCTTCTCCGTGAAGGAAAAGGTTTGTGCCYGTTTTCATCAATATTCTCGTATGAATGGAAGAGGTAGGAATGAGGAGCTGTGTAAGGAAGAAAGAATGACAGCACAAGGAGCAGCATCGGTGCTGTGCGTGTCACACAAGCTCCTTCCAACTGCCCTGTGACGGCTGAGACGGGAAGCACAGGGCAGCTGTGGTCCTTGCTCCCTGGTTTCCCCAAGGAAAAGCTTTTGGGTGACTTGCTGCAAGAAGCCCTGTTGCCTTCCAAATCCAGTTGGAGTTCGGTCTTCTGCTGCTTCCTACCCCGAASACTTCTGGGAGAGCACAGAGTCAGGGAAGGGCTGCTTCACACCAAGGAGGACTTGCCTTGCTGTAGCAAACAGAAATGTGTAAGCTATGATAGGCTTCCATACGTGACCGGTGTAGACCTTCTCTGTAGAGAGGGAGTAAGAGCAACATCTGGTCTTCTGCAAGAAGTCCTAGCTCCTGTTCCAGAGACTTTCCCAGTTTCCATGCTTTAGGGACGCTGCTTTATCTAAGCCATGGTATTATCAGCTATTTATTTCTGGCCAGTACACCAAGTGTTACGTTAGGAAATGACTTGGTTTGGCTTCTCTGCAGATACTGCTGGGKTTTTTTTCCCCAGGAGAATTCCACCCTTAATGTCACAATCGCCTATCCCCCTTCCTGTCACAGAAGGAAGATGGCAATCTCRTTCCTTTTGTTTGGTTGGCTTCTGCTGTGGCGGCTCCCTACAGGTTCCTTGGGAGCCAGAGTTGTCTCAGCATTTTAGGAAGAATTCTTTTCTTTCTCCTGTCCATTCTTCTTCCTTTTTATTTTTCTCTCTTAGAGCTGAATGCCGGCTTTGGCCTCATTCTGTTCAAGCTTTTGTACTGCCCCCCTTCACTCTGATGGGTTACAAGTGCGTTACACAATGTAGCTGATGACTGATGCTCCCTCCAAACTTCTCTTCCTCCAAAGAGGAGCTATTAAGTGGATTTTAATATGTCATAGGGGGTTGAGAGACATTTGAGATTTTCAGACAGTAAGATAAAGTCTAAAGCATGCCAAGCACTAGGAAAGCAAACCTGGTAAAACTGCGGAGAAATAGAAATTGTGCAAAAGCCAAGGCTCAAAGCATAAGCTTTGTTTCTGGTTCAGCCAGCCACTCCTTATGCAACATGAAATACATCCTTATTTTGCTGGAGGAACAGAGGTGATTTGAGTGGTGATCCCAGGCCACGAGGTGACGTTCGTGTATCCCAAATGCAGCCTATCCAGAGTGTTTATTTGGCAAGGCAGGGGCTGCTTTTTGGCGCAGTTCTGCAGAGCGTGTGCTGCACAGATGACACAGTTTGATGTGTTTGCACTGCCCTGCGTTGCCCAAATGCCCTGACACGGCTAAACCCCCTGGAGATCTCTCACCTCTGTAGTTTCCGTGCCCGCAGAGGCTGTGCGGCTGCATTAATGCAGCCACGGCGCCCTCCTGACAAAGAGCTCCCTGGGCAGAGGATGCTCCTCTGGTGGAAAGAAAAAGGAATTTGTCACTTCGGTCTTAACTTTGTTGCCTGACAAGACAGAGAACCACATCTGGTGGAGGACAAACAAACATGGTTCTTCTAAATATCTCTTTCCAAAGAAGAGGCTAGAATGATTTAGCTATTGGGTAGGATTGAAGTCATCTTAAAGGCAGAGCAGATGTTAAG